TTAGCTGACCCTACCCAATTCTGCTACTTCTGTCCTAGAATTAATTCCATCTTTGGTGGCCCCTTGGCACTTTGCACATTCTCACAAGGTGCCCTTATCATAATTATTATACTAATTTGCACACACTCAGTGTACCATGGGGACTGTGATCCCAGGGGATGAGACAGCTTTGCTGCATTTTTAAACTTTCCATCTAGCACACAGCAGATGCTGACTGACAAGGAATGCAGCTATGTGCTAGGTGCTCTTTGCTTTCCAGTCTTATTCGCTCCTGTATCTTCCTGACATACTCCACCCCCATCCCCACCTTTTAAGGCTTATTGCTTCTGGACTATTTGTCAATAGACTCCTGGATGAGCTTACCTTTTGGTCACTTTTCTTCCCAGTTATCTTCCTTACAGGTGGTCAATTAATTTCTCCAGAATACAGTTCTGAATTTGGTTTGTCTCTGCTTATAAATGTTCTCAGATCCTCAGTTTTTATCAATAGATTCTTTGCATTGGAATTCTGGTGTTTGTGACCCAGACTTAAAGATATCATCTTAGCTCAGATTATTCAAGCCAAATTGTGCTAGTTCCTGTTCTGTCTTTGTGCACCTGCCCAGCTACTGCACCTGCCTGAAGCCCCCTTGTCTTCTTTGTAGCTACCGCAGGAAATCCCACTTCGTGGAATTTGACTTGTTCATTCTTTGTTAAGCCTTCACTGAATAGTACCAACTTGGCACGGCTAGGTGAGAGCTATAGCTCTTCTGAAACTCACAGTATTTTGCTTTACCTCTTTTCTGGTATCAATCCCATTCTACACAGTTCTGTACATCTGGGCTCCTGAACAGTCTTGTCACTATCACACAACTTCCTTATCAAGCTTCTCCCAACTGGTCTCTTCCACTGGGTAGATGCTCAACAAATGCGGTTTGGTATGCACTACTGATTGAACACATCAGTGTCAGGACATGCTGGAACTTCACTCTTGTACATTAAAAACAAAAATTCATGTGGCACCAGGCTAGTTATTTGAAGAATTTCTCAATCCCTTGTAAAACTATTAACAGGGCCTTATATATGGATATATGTGTATATATATTTTTTAAAGTTCTGGAAAAAAACAGTCTTTAACCTATCATTTATCATAAATCAGGTCGGGCAGGTACGGTTGCACACACCTGTAATTCCAGCCCTTGGGAAGCTGAGATAGAAGAATAACTGAGTTTGAGGCCAGCCTGGGGGACATAGTAAATTCAAGGCCAGCCTAAACTAAAAAGCAAGACCCTGTCTCAAAAACACAAACAAGCAAGTGACAATAAAAGAAATCAAGTGAATCTAGGAAGAATAAATTATCTAAAGGAACAGTGAAAACCACAGTGGCACCGGTGTTAAAATGCTAAGCTAAGCATTTAACAAGCACAATCCTATTGGTTCTTATTACCCTGTGAGGCAAGACATATCCCACATGTGAACCTTAGGAAAACCTAGGCCAAGAAAAGCTTCAGTCTTCCTAACTTACTAAGATTAGTTTTTTGTTGTTGTTGTTGTTTTTTGAGACAAGGTCTCACTACGTAGTCCACTACGTAGTCCAGGCCAGCCTTGAACTCACTATGTAGCCCAGGTTGGCCTCCATCTTGCAAAGATTGTCCTGCCTCAGCCTCCCAAGTGCTGGGATTACAGGCATGCATTACCACACCCAGCCAAGTTAGGTATCTTTTGAACAGCAAACCCTGGGTCCCATCAAACTAGAAGCATTTCCCAAGAGGCTTCAGCTTACCAAAACTCCCTGGAAAATGACACTAACAGCATTTCTGGAAAGATAAGGCCCCTTTTGGAAAACCTGCAATAATACTCTCAGTTTGGGCTTCATAAGGAATAGGCAGTTCTGTAATGTCAGTAAGTAAACACCAAACTGTTTTCTTTTTTCAGTGTTGGAAATGGAACCTGGGACCTTGCACATCCCAGGCAAACACTCTACCGCTTGTTTATTTATTTAGTGTTTGTTTGTTTGAGACACGGTCTCCCTATGTAGTTCAGGCTGTCCTTGAACTCGCTATGTAGGCCAGGCTGGCCTCAACTTGCAGCAATCCTCCTGCCTCAGCCTTCTGTGTAGTGGAATTTCAGGTGTGTGCCACACTCCTGACTCCACTGCTAATTAAATCCCAGTTCTCAAACTATCAAGCAGGGAACAATTTCAGGGACCCATTCAATAGATCACTGTTCTCAGACCAAAGCTGACCCCTAGGTGGCAGGAGTAGACTGTTTTACTGGGGAAAGTGGCACAACAGTTTTCCGAGCAGCACGACAGCAATACACAATTTTGCAAAACTGCTTACAATTTTCTGAAGATGATATAAGTTTTAGGGTGGTATAATTAAATGATTGCAAATAAAATTATTCTTTCTATTGAAAATGTCTTATTTATTTTGGAATAATACCAAAGTACATATGGATTTCAATCTTTTCATGCTATCATAAAAACAAAGCTTAAATTTCAACTTGTAAGTATAACCATACTGGCAATGGACTAAATAACAACACAATGCACACCAAAATATAGCGAAAACTACAGTTTAATTTTGTGTCATGTTGTATAAAATAGATAAAAACTGCCTTTAACTCATGAAGGTTGAAATTCTTGAATTTTGCAAAGTGTTTCATTTCATTTTGTTTATGTTGGTTTCTCATTGTCAGAACTAAAGCCAAGGTTTCACATTAGATTTTAAAAGCACTTCTCTGTAAGTAACATTAAAGATTCCCAATATATAAAATGCAAACTGGGTAAAACCATCACCCCTCCCCCAATGCTGGGGTTCCTCACACACTCTAGGCAAGCGCTCTACCACTGAGCTATCTCCCAGCCTATATTTCTTTCTATTTCTGATATTTACATTAAAAATACAAAAGGAAGATGGATGGAATACATAAGAACTTTGAAGAAATAAATGCAACTTAAAAATATGATAAACATATTGTGACAAATCTGTAGAATTACCAACACACATGAAACTTTAATAAATTGAATTTCAATAGCACTGCTACTTTTGCTTTTCATCCTTGGTAAGCCCTTGCAGGTAGAAATTAAATGATACATAGCTAAGAATAGCAAATTTACATATAAAACTAAACACAGAATGGCCAGTGCCCTACTGGCTAATAACTAAGTTGGACACTATCTTTTCCATATAATCACTTAATAGGCACTCAGGAAAAAAAACATTTTAAAAAAGTTTAAACAAATTTAATTAACTAAAGTACAATCCCATCTTGCACAAAAAGAACCCTTTAGATTTAAACTAGGGTAGTCCTACTGGGAGGTACTATGGACCTTTAATATTTATTTATTTATTTATTTATTTACTTATTTATTGCTATTTAGTCCAGGCTGGCCTGGAACTGACTAAGCAACCTAGGCCAGCTTCGAAATCATGGTGAACCTCCTGCATCAGCCTCTCAAGTGCTCAGAGTACAGGTGTGTGCTAGCAGACCTGACAATTATGGACCTTTTCAGTGGGCCCCACGGGAGTCTTTAGGTTATTGTGGACACGCCCTCAAAAAGGACTGTGGGACCCAGCTCATCCTGTGCTTTTTGACTGGAAAAGTGAATACCCACGCTAACATCTGCTTCTGCCATACCATGCCAGCCTTGCCAGAGGCCCTCACTGATGGGGTTGCCCAGCATTGGATTTGGCCCTCCAGAACTGTGAGCTAAAGTAAACCTCTCTTCACATAACAATGTTTGTGTCAGGTATTTTATTACAAGGATGCAAAGCTGATGAATATACCCAGGACTGGGTGAAGGTTTGGGCCAATGAAAAAACCAGAGCCCAAAGAAATGGAACTCCTACCCAAGGTGGGGAACTAGTTCTGTCTCACAGTGGCATCACAGGAGTTTTTCAAAATATGCAAATGAGCAAATGGTGACCAGTATTTGAGAAATCCAAAAGACAGACTGGCCCTCAAGATGGACGTACCAGGGATCCCAAATACCAGCAATTCTTTAAACTGGTTTGATCTTAAAAGTACTCTGCAAAAATTCTACTTCCTAGGTCTTTCTGGAAAGTTCTACTGCCTGGATATCTCTGAATAGCAAAGGTCAAACACAGGCTGTCCTGGCTTCTAAGTTTGCAACCAAGCAGTGCAATCACTCATCTATAGGTATTGGATAAAACTGAAGTCCTCACAGGTGACTGGTGGGAAGGGAATTATTTTCTATGGCAAGTACCAATTCACATCTGTAAAACAGTCTAGTAACTTCTGTGACAAATAATTTGCAATATGTACATGTGTATGCATTTCCCCATTTTTCACCTATGTAAGGTAGTATTATTGAATGCATTTATAAAGTGAAAATTATATAGTAATGCAAAGCTACCTGGATGCTTGATGGGATGTGAAAAGAACACTGCCCTCCTAGATTTGGCAGTTATTAGCTGATTCAATTTATGAGATGCATTAGAAATTGATTAAAAATAAGTATAATAACTAGCATAAAAATCTCTTTTCATATACAAGCATCATTCATGGTTGACAGGCATGAAACTGAATATTTCTAATTCATTCCTAGAAAATAAAACATACGTAGCACCTGTAGTTGTCTCAACACAAATTATTTCATTTATAAGGGATTAGAAAAGATAGGGAAACATTTTAAAATAAAAAGAAGATATGAGTAATAAAAATCGTTTCAAAAATGAAAATGTGAGAATCTCTAATAGCCACATGGGATCCCCCAGCCTCCCAGAATCTAGCACATAGTAGATACTCAATTATCTTTTGGAATGCTGTGTTAATGCTATCTCAAAGAATTTCAGACATTAACAACTCATTTCAAAAGATGGGAATTACTTCTGAATTTGGTAAATTGCAACTAAACAACTCCCACCCCAACTAATAACTGAGACAGGACAGGGTTGCCAATAACAACAGCAGCTGAAGGATAAGCCCAGAGGGCCAGCGCCCCTCCCATAACAGGGTCACTAACAAGTCACAGAGGGACCCCACCTGGGCCCTTACCTCTCCCTTCTTTTCCTCTGGACTGGCCGCTCCGCTGGGGGTCAGCTGAGGGTGGCTGACCCCGCCACTGTCCTCACTGCTGTCCTCCCCATGCGTGTTCTGGGAGGAATCCTGGAGGCACCCAGGCCCTGGCTCCCTTTGGACAGGGTCTTCTGCCCTTCCGTCACTCTCCACTGAGGTCAGGGACAGTGCACTGAGGCTGCTGGGACACTTGGCACTTGCTGCCCCCGGGCTCTGGGGACTCTGGGGCTTGGGCGTGATGGGCCTCGGAGGGGTGGGGGGCGGCCCAGGGTCAAAGGTCAGCTGGCCACCAGCGCGGGGGTCATCACAAGCCTTGCTCAGTGCTTCTATACTAGTCGGACTCGGGGGGCTATTGGCACGGGGACAGTCACCTTCCGAGGCCCAGGGTCCAACGGCCTCCAGTGGGTACACGGCAGTGTCCGCGTCCACGCGGGACCCCGGGCGCCGGCGTTCATGCTCGCAGCTGCTAGACTCGCGGTGCGAGTAGACTTCGTGCATCTGGCTGCGCAGCCGGAGCTGCAGTTCCGCCTCGCCGCCAGGGGACGCTGCATCGCTCTTGGGGCGCTCTCGCTTCCAGGCTGTGTCTGCCACATTGCTCACGAGTTTCCAGACCCTGTCAAAATCTTTGACCCTCAGGGGGCTCCTCCAGCGCCAGGCCCTCCGCTCAGCCCCACTGAGCTTCTCCAAATCAGCGGAGGAGTTGCTCAGAGTCCGCGGCGGTGGTGGCGCCGGCTTGTCACAGGCCGCGCGCAGGTCGGCCAGGTTGG